CAATTTGATTGGCTTAGAGCAGTGGTATTTCAGCTTAATTTGAAATACCTACATGTAAAAATTACAAACCTTTTGTGGGTAGTAGTATAAACAAATAATAGCATGATTTCTACGTGATATTTGGCATAAATACCACTAGTGATATTTCAAAATTGTCTCAAATTTCACTCGCCTAAAGGCTCGTGAAATTACGTATAACAATTTCGAAATATCACTCGTGGTATTTATGCAAAATATCACTACAAATCATGCTATTACCTATACTAATTTTACCATCGATAACTGGAACCATGTTTTGAGCCCTTAAAAGGTCGGGGAAAAGCCGTCTACGGGCGTCCGAAACATTGAATTTTGGATTTCCTATTGACGTGTTGTAGGAGTATAGTTTACTTGTGGAGGCTGCTGTTGATTGTCATAGGCTAACGTGAAGCAGCTTTTCTTCTCAAAACAGTAAAACGCATGCTCTATTTAGGCTATGTTTTGTCACGTTACTTTCTGATTTATAATCTAGAAGTATCTTTCAATTATCACTTGACATTTCTACAATTAAATGTGATTAAAATGTCCGCTGTGCAGTAAAAACTGCGTTTTACCTTACTCTCGGCTATTTTCTTCGGGATCCCGATAACTCGAACTCCTGATAACTCGAACCTTTTTCGATTTCCCTTGAAGGTTCGAGTTATCGGGAGTCGACTGTACCTTTAATGTGGTTACTTCGTAAGCAAGAAAAAAATACAAAAAGCTCTTTTTTGCTCTCTTCTTTCTGAAAACAAATATCGATAATGGCGGTCCATGTCGCTAGTCGGTTAATTTTTTTTTTTCTGTCGGTAGTCAGTAACTTTTTTTTTTCTTGTTTTGTAGGTAGTCGGTAGTATTTTTCGCCCTTTGTCGCTAGTCGGTTAACCCCATTCACACTCTCAACTTTGGTTTGAGAGACTCAAACATCAAAAGGCAAACTAGTACGACAGCGTTAGCTAATCATGAGGAAACTTAAGATGGCGAGACTGGATATTTTTTAGAAGGGATACTTCTTAAGTTTGATTATTGTTCATTCAAAATATTTCCCCAATTCTGATTGGCTAAAAGCACACACATAATTCACCATAACCAGTTACTGATGACCAAATTTGGAAGAATCTTGAGTTTAACGAGGAAATGACGTCAAAAATGCAGCCCTCTACAGGTTAATGCACCGTTAACTGAGAAGACCTGGGGACGAGGTTGAGTTGTTTTCGTTGTGAAAACTAAAATGGCGGACACTTCACTTTTTCCAAGAGTAAGAACTACAGCTGGAACTAGGCGAAATAATGGCTAAAACATAGCAAAAACAGCAAGAAGGCAACTCGGAGGGCGACACTGGCTGCTATTTGGAGAATATTCGCGGAGCTGGACAAACCTGAACGCACACTATCGAAGATAAACTTAACATCGATGCAGGTAAGCATGTTTTAGCTATGTTTTTAAACTAGGAATTATTTTGAATGAATAATAAAGCAATTAATGAATTCGGATTTCGTGGGGTATGAGGAATTAAGCAGAACTCGGAGGGTGTTATTCAGACGGCAATAACTTTAGCGTCACTTTTTCATCATGTGGGACGCAGAAATAAATCGCTTTGCAATAGTTTATTTGAATTTATGTTTCGTTTTTGCAATACCTGTTTTCAGTCAACTTATTTAGCTTTATTTTCATTGGTACGGAGACGCCCTGAACATGACAGGAAAGTAATTGAGGATCCTTCCGAATGCAAATTAGAACAGCTACTACGTACTGCAAATCAAGACGCATATTACAAATTATTACAAAATCGTCCACAGACGTTCTCTAAACTTAAGGCAAAACTACGTTAAAACTTGTTTGAAGAAAAAGATGGCTTTTCGCCGCACCATAAGGGAGCAGTGGGAATCTGAAAAAAATTATCCATGTTGCCTGTATGGATCATACAGATCGCGCTTTAAAGTTTTTAATATTTCATTCACACCTGGCATGGACTGAGGTTAATTAACTATCAGTTTTCAGGGAAAGTAAAAAATAATACAATTCTTTTGTGGTACAAAAACAAAAACGTTTAATACTTCATGCTTCTTTAAATTCTAGGAAACTACTTAAAAGAGTTGAATACAATAATTAATGTGGAAAATGAAGTAAGGAAAAAGAAACACTTTAATTTGGTTTGAAACAAAAAGTTTCAATTAGAAATTTCGTCCATACCTCGGAATCGCCGTTTCAAGAGCATCTGAGATATGTAGGGACCTTCCGAAACTACGACGGCGACGGCAAGGAGAACGCCTAATAGAAGAGGCTTGAGTGAGCAAAACGACAACTCTGGCGGCACGTGCATCACGCTTTTCTTTACATTTCTTCGTTGTCCCTACACAACTACAACGTGGAATAGTTATTTTTTTTTTTAGTTGACGGGCTTAAGAACTGGAACGACAAGGCGATAAATTTATTTACTACTTCTCTCTCTGTTTTAATACACTACAGCCTCCGCTATTCAGTTCCAACCTAACACATGTCAACGTACTTTCAATTCACTGGGCGACTTGGTATGACCGAGAAAAAAGTTTCATTGGACGCGAAGTCTATTTTTCAGCGACGTATTCATTGGCGTCTCTGTTTTCGGATAGTAAGGTCCCTATTGGATTGTATTCTCATCGTCCTTTGGTTCTTGTACCCTCCTTAAACACCAGTGCTTCCAAACTATGATTTGAGACAAATCGCCAGGGAATTGCCGGCCACAAAACTGCCGCCTGCGATGCCTGACACAATCTGCTATCAAGGGCAGTTCTTCCAACTAATATTAAGATCTATGTCCTTCAAAAATGATCAAGTAGAAGGCTCTACACGGTTACCTTACCGCCTAAATTAAACCACCTGACTGATAAGCCTTTTAAACTCTTTCTTTATGTCTCTTTTGAAAAAAGCATAAGACAGTGGGTTAATGGCCGAGTTTAAAACCAATACAGGAACTTTGTATTGTTCATCTTTACATGATGCATTTGTGTCGGATAGTACTACGAGACTACAACGTAAATATATTCCGTAGCACGCAACAAACACTCCTATCACAATACCCATCATTATTACTGCAGACTTCTCGTTACGGGTTTTAAAAGATATCCGTCCTAGGGTGCGTGCTGACCGATCTTGTTTCCATACGTGAATTAACATTGACACAAAACAGAGTATCTGCAGAACGCATGGAAAGATTTCCATGGAAATCATTAAAACCACAACTGCAACGATACTGGTCAGAGGGGTCTCACAGCAAAGCCGAAGTGCGGTCTTGAGCGCAACCAGCGTAAATGACGCTATCCAACAGGAAGTTATCACTTGAATAACACGAGATCGAGTCATGAAAGTTATGTATTTAAAAGGCTTTAAGATGGCGATATAACGGTCGAGCACCAGAGAACACAAATTTAAAACAGACAAGTAGCTAAACAGCCACCTTACGACATCTTTCCATGAAGGAAAAGCCTGAGGCCAGTCACAGGTTTTTGTAACGTCGCATACAAACAAAGAAGGAATAATGCTCAAACCAACACAGAAATCCGCTACTGCAAGTGAAACAATAAACGAGTTGGTTTTGGTGTGGAGATATCGTCTGCTGCAGACGAGGAAGATCACAAATCCATTTCCAGTGATGGCAAGAAACGAAAGAACCAATCCAAGAATCCAAAACCAGGTCTCCATCCGTAGTAACGGCAGTTAAGAGAGGTTCTTATTAACTACAGATAAAAGAAAAATATCCTCTTCGCAATAATGTCAGGAGGTTGTGAGCTATTCTCTGGCAGATGTATGTTACTGGACAGAAGTCCTTTTTATTGTCCTACTTTGTCATAAACTTGGTAATTTCTAATAATGATGTGTTTCGCATGCGCAGTAGGTAACTGACCGAGCTGTCGCAACACAGTTGGTAGGAAAATGAGGATAGTTGCGTGCTGTAATTCAAAGCCAATGGGCGCTTTCAATACAACAAAAATTCTGGTTGAAATGTTGGAAATTCCACGTGCCCAATGGAACTACATCGACCTGACCAAAGTTACAGTGCGTTTGGTTATCGTTGCCACAAAAGAGCGGTATTTGAGACAACAATTTTGTCAAATGGAAAGGGACACTCCAACATTGCCGATCTTAATCTAAATAGCTCTTATCTGGCTGGATCTTAATTAATTATTCTCTTTACAACTAAACCATTTCCGGTCTTTCAGTTATAACAGATGGAATTAACCGAGACCTTAGCTGATTAAAAAAAATATACCTTCACTTTATATTAGTCTAAATTGCAGCCGACGACATCATGTATTTCTTACAAATTGCGACAGGTCTGCTACAAATTACTACAAAAGTGCATTAATAAATAAAAAGGCTGTCTCTAATATCACTAAATTTGCCTGAGAACGTTTCCACCGTTGTCGTTAACTATTCCTAAGCGAGAAAATAAAACAAGACAGACATGAGCCAGCAGCATCACGGTAATCTGCCCATGCATGCAGTCTATTCCGTTTAATTCCACTGCTGTACTAAACAGAGCATGCAAAGGTTTTCAGTTAATAAACAGAGCAAGGAAAAAAATTAACTGACCACGATGTGAAACAGAAACACAATGTCGATAAGTTTTTAAAGGCAGTTCAACTGTGGAAAAAACACCCTCTTCACAAAAACTTCCTGTCCAACATGATTATTTATAAAACCTTGTTATTTTATAATCCTTTCACTATATATATATATACATGGCGCAAGACGCCTGGGGTGTCGATATGATCTTTAACAACTGTTTCACTAGCTCAGTTATCAATCAATTATTAATATTGTTTAGTTAAATACCTTCTACTGCATTTTTATTTCGTACTGCTAAATTGGAAGGTTTTATTATTCATTCGGTATGCAACGATTTTAATATCGTTCCAGCCACAAACAACTCGTAGCTCCAATTTGCTGTTGGGCTTCCTTAGCAACCAATATTTATTTCTTTGTCATGATTTCTACAGAATTTAAAGGAAAATGAGACTTACGTTCGTGTAACCGGGGCGAAAAAGGTGACACATTTGATAGCTATACCTTTTTTCTCCATAACAAGTCATTTTACACTTTACACGATTTTATCATTTCAGTCACACCTGCAAGACTAACCTGAAATAAACATGCACGGAAAGATTACAAAACTACTACATTTCTTTTTTTGTTTTTCTCAACAAGGAAATTAATTCATATAACAAGAATATCGTACAGTTAATCTTTCAGTTCGGTTCGGTACATTCTAGGAATCTATCGCCGTTAACAGAGTTGATTACGAAGACTGTTGAACGAACAAAATTAACCTCGGTGCGGAGGAAAATTGGCACCAAGCCTTATGAAGTCACCGAACCTCGAACTTCTGAACTTGTCAATCTTGTTTTCTCCCGTCAAACTGGTATTCAGAGTGCGAACATCCGTTTCAGATTGATAAATTGATGGTCATAACCGATGAGCCCGCTGTACAAAGCGCACGGCTATTAAGCGGGCGTCCGAACTGTATCCAAGCAACAAGCGGCACATGCTCACGCTATCTTTGTTACTCAATTGATGCAGAGTCTTGCTCGAGTATACCAAAATCGAGCAAGTGAAGCAAAGCGGGCTTTGGTAGCAGCCGGTGTGAACACAAAATTATACTCTCGTGATGTGAAACTAAAAAGTTCCATCGAATAAGAACTTGCGTCTCACACCACCTGTGAAACTTGATCCTAAGTCCTTTCCCTTGAATTTCGTATTCTCTGAGGGTCCAAAGGTTTTTGTTTTCTCTCCTAATGCGCCATTTTTTCCAAATTTCAATTCGCTTTGAGTCCAAGCCTCACACGTTTATCAGTCTTTAACTGAATTGCTCAAGCCTTTCACACTCGTTCATAAAAGACTTACATCTTACAAGAATGAGTTACGCGCGTCAAGTGGTAAACTTTAGTTAACTTTGTAATGTTCTTTTAAACACAGCGCCAACGCAGATGCATCCCATAGCAAACAAGAAACACTCCTATCAAAAGGCCCATCATTATTACTGCAGACCTATCGTGGAGGATTTTTAACGACATCTGATGGTTAAAACGTAACTTTTTTGCTAAGGTGCGTGCTGACGGATCATGCCTGCCTACGTGAAATGTCATTGATGCAAAGCAGAGTGTTAACAGAACACATGGAAGAAACTCGGAAATTATTGTCAGCCAAATAAGTGACACAGGGACAGGTATTGTTTTGAAATAAAACAAAGAAAGGGTAATCTTTAGCGCGTAAAACTAACTGGTATAACCCAAGAGAAGAAAATAATTGGGATAATTCGACAGCGAGTCTGAAATTAATGTATTTCAGAGGATGAACGATGGCAATAAAACGATCCAGTACTAAGACGCATAAGTTTACAACAGACTTGTTACTAAGCAACCACCTTATAATATTCACCCAAGATGACCAAGATAGCAAATGTTGAGACCAGTAGCAGGTGTTTGTAATGTCGCAGAAGAACAGAGAAGGAATAACGCTCAAACCGACACAGAAATCCGCTACCGCAAGTGAAACAATAAATGCGTTGGTTTCGGTGCGGAGATTTCGTCTGCGGCAAACGAAGAAGATTGTAAATCCATTTCTAATGATGGTTTGAAATGAAAGAAACCAACCAAGAATCCAAAACCAGGTCTCCATCTTAACTGTTAAAGGAAGTTCTTGTCAACTATACTGATTAACTAAAAAATTGAGTATTATAATTTACATCTTTGCATGAATTTGAGGGTCACATTTGCTAATACCCGTAAATGATTTTATAGACACCCGCGGCGTTTATTTAATTTTAGGGGTCCAATGGCCAAGAGGGGGCGTTTAATAGAGGGAGGAATTTTAAAAGAGGAAAGCGTTTGAAGCTCAGTTAAACTAGTATGTTTTGGGCGAAAATTCAGTATCAAGAGAGTTAACTGTAAATAGCAGAATGTCTGGTCCCTCCATCTATTGATACGTCTGAAACGCCTTCAAGAGATCCATATCCCTCTTCCAAATCTCCGACTTTGATCGATGTTAGAATGTTTCGGATCATTATATGTTGTCATTATTAGTTTATCCTTATTTTTAGCTTGCCATTGAACAAGATACATTGTTAAGCAAGAAACTGAACCGGCAAATTGAATGATTTTACTCCTTTTTGCCGTTTCCTAGCGTTTCAGAGTAATTGCGGGGGGGGTGTCTATTAGACAGGGGGCGTTATTAGCGAGGGGCGTCTAATACAAACTGCTTGACATCTTAAGAGGGGCGTTCATTAGACAAAAGGTTTTATTTAAGAGTGGGCGCCCATAACATCATTTACGATGCGTGTTTCTATTAGTTCTTTAAATCGTCCTTATTTTAATAACTGCACTGTATTATAACTTCCTGCTTCCAATATTTTTTGCGCTATTTGTAATTAGCCATGCTGTCGTATTTTATTTGTAATTATCGGTTTTTTTAATAAACGGTAGGAAGAGAGAAAATGTGGACTGTTACATGGCAATAGTGCAAAGACATCTTTCAATTAAACGATAGAAAACGTCAGTCACGTGTGTTACCTCCTATCTCAATTCATTGTTAATTTGGCTCGCTTAATATGGCTACGTTAATGTATTCCTAATTGCGACAGTTCTTTATTAGAAGCTGCGACAGGTGTTACAAATTACGGCAAAAGTTGGGGAAAAAATTGTTAAAAGATTTTTTTTTTCATTTCCGTTATCTAATTAGAAGCGAGAAGGTAAAATCGCATATCAAAAATTGAAAAGTATACATTTCTCAGGAGCGTAGCAAGCGTAGCTACCTGTACGCACGCACGGTACGTACGTGCGTACCTGAAAAAGTCGAGGGTGGAAAAAATAATAATAAAATAAGATACGAAAGCGAATAATGAAAAAAAAGCAAAGGATATAAGATAGGTAAAATATAATTATTCACAGTTTGGATCAATATTTAACAACGGATTGTTTAACTTTTAGTTTTAATTACTCTCCAATGTCGGCTTCCTTTGGTGGACCAAATATTTAATAAATATAAATGATATATTTTAAGCCTTAAGTTAGCAAAAGCGATTGACGTGCTTCAGTCCATGATTACAAAAAGACGATAAAGATTTTTTTCAGTTTACACAGTCACGTCATTTCATACAGCTATTTCGACAACGGTTGTCGGAAGTGCACACGACAATCCCGAAAGGTATTTTGGCTGGCTTTGAGGGCAATGTTCTTCAAAGAAATTTGAAAGAATGGTACGGGAGGCCACGGACATATGTTTGCGAGTATTAAAGGAAAGCAACAAAAGCAGGTTTGACAGCTTAAGTCGTTACGAACAGTGTATTGATCATATCCCATATTACCTTTCGGGATTGTCACGTGCGCATTTCTTCCGACAACCTTTCTCGAAACAGCTGTATACAGTAAGAACGCTTCGACTTACAATAATCTCACCTTTTGGAACATTGAGCAGGGGGTTGGGGGAAAAGGGCATGTGGAGAATTGTGCGTACCCCCGAAAAAATCCTGGTTACGCCCCTGTTTATGTGAGATGCAACTTGAAAACACCTGATGGTTAAAGCGTAACTGTTTTGCCAAGGTGCGTGCTGGCTGATCATGCCCGCGTGCGTCAAAAATATCATTGATACAAAGCAGAGTATTAACAGAACACATGGAAGGAACTTGAAGAGGAAATTACACTCAT